TCACAATGAGATACCACTGAACCCCTAGAATAGCTATAATGAAAATTGGAGGAGAAAAAAAACAACAGAAAATGGCAAGTATTGGAGAAGATATGGAAAAATTGCAAACATCATACATCTCCAGTGGAAATGCAGCCACTGTGGAAAACATAAGTTTAGTGGTTTCTCAAAAAGTTATACATAGAATTACCATGTGACCCAGTAACTGAACTCCTAGGTATATACCCAAAAGAACTGAAACTAGGAACTCAAATTCTTTTCCATGAATGCTTGTAGCAACACTATTCACAATAGCCAAAAGGTGGAAACAACTCAAATGTCCATCAACTGATGAACTGATAAACAAAATGTGGCATATCCTTAAGTGAGATCTTATTCAGCCATAAAAAGAAATAAATACTGATACATGCTACAAATTGGATAAACCTCAAAAACATTATGTTAAATGAAAGAAGCCAGACACAAAAGGTCACATATCATAAGATTCCATTTTTATATAAAATATCCAAAATAGATAATCCAGAGAGACACGATGCAGACTGGTACTTGCCAGGGCTGAGATCAAGGTACAATAGAATAAGTAGTGATTGCTTAATGGATACAGGTTTTCCTTTTAGGGTGCTGAAAATGTCTTAGAACTTGCCTTAAATTCAAATTTCAATACAGTTTTGAGCTTCAATTTTTCAAAGTTTACTTTTCTTTCTGTTAAAACTCATTTTGCTGGTTCTTCTTTAACCATCATTTCTGTTTGTGAGGCTCTGACTGAATTTATCATTCGACTTGGGAAATGTGCTATCAGCATTTGTGATAAGCATTCCTTCCATGCCTCTATACAAGAAGTTGCGGGGGGGGCAGGGGGGGGCTTCATAAACACATCACCTAGATGCCCTCAAAATGAAAACATTTGCTACACTAAGGCTTTTGGCTATTCATTGTCCAGACTGGTCAAGTCTAACTTCCTGCAAGTTATCTCCCCAGTAATTATACCCAATACAATTCTTGTCCCCTTTTAGTTACTTTTAAGTCATAATCAACATTTCATTAAAGGCTATATTTTATTTAAAAATTTGCTGTTTTGTTATATGTGAACCTTGTTGACACAAAAATTCTCTGGAGGTTGGGTCTATGTACTGTATATAGCCATAACTCCATTAACAATGAGATTACTTTGTAGGACAGACTTTTCAGAAATGTCACATCCAGATGCTGAGGTGGCATCAAAGTATATTCCAGTGTAGGGTAAGTCAAAGCAGGAAAGGATATTCAATACTAACTAGCAAATGTGCCAACAAACATAAACTATCCAACTGGAAATCCTTGGGAAAGGGAATGGAAAGGGAGGAACTAGGCTAAGGTTACTATAAGTCAGTAAAAGCTCAGGAAAGAAAGGCACAGGAGAAGACAAAAGGCAGATCCTTGAGAGACAGGTAACTGGATTCAGGTCTAAAGTAATTGTTTTACAAATCCATATATAAAAAAGATAACCCAATTTTTTAAATATGCAAAGAATCTTAATAGAAATTTCTTCAAAGAAGATATACAAATAGCCAATAATCACATGAAAAGATGCTCAGTGTCATTACTCATTAGGGAAATACAAATCAAAACCACAAGATACCACTTCAGATGTACTAGGATGGCTAAAATCAAAGATAGACAATAGCAAATGTCAGTTAGAAGAAGAAATTAAAACCCTTGGACCCTGCTGGTGGAAATATAAAA